AATTCTGGGTCCTACTGAACAATACATCAAAGAACTATCCAGATGTCCAGATCAAAAGAAAAATTAATTAGAAAATTGCATAAAGATGTGTAGTTTGCCAAAGGCAACATACAAAAGAAAAAAGCTTACTTAACATGGAGGCACCAACGAGTCATAGAGCAGAGGTTGAGAATCAAAAGAAACAGTTTTCAGTGAGGTCACTGATAGCACAGCCCAGAATTTTAAGAAGCAGACTATTAGACAAAACAGACCTCTTGGGGATCCAAGCACAAAGGAAGTTTACTGAAAAGGATTGAGAACAGCTGGAATAAAGATTTGTACACAGGGGCTAAGATTTATTTCTGTGCAAAGCAAAGATTTTGGAAGCTCTTAAAAGTATACTAATTTACACTCTCGCAATATAGATTTATGAAAATTAAAAATATAAAGCAATCCTGAAAATGCTACTTCTTAAATGACTTAACTATGAAGAACACTTTTTTAATGAGGTTTTTGCCTTAGGGCGCCTGTGTTCACTAGCGGCAAAGACAGACACAGTGAGAAGAAAAGTGAGAAATTACCCCTCCCCCCAGGGTGGATGGCCATGCCACATTCCTTTTTCCTCCTTTCTCTTCCTAGGATCTTGGGCATGCACGCACATGTAACTGGTGTGATTTTCCAGCCACCAGGTCCAGGACTCAAACCGCGATCGGCTATATTGGAGTCCAGCGACAGAACCACTACACCATCTGCTGACTCCTATGAAGAAATTTAAAGAGGCCAAAAGCACAAAATGAAATCTGTGGGACCCTGACTTGGCCCCAGCATATTTCATTTAGTTTCAAGCTCTTTTTCTTGCTCATACCCAGGCATGCCATCATCTTCACATTCCTACTTCTTTGAACAGGGTTCCTGTGTCTGACTAATGAATTCCCACACAGTCTAAGACCAAATTTGCGTATGATCTCTTCTGTGAAGCTTTACCTGACTACCAAGCAGTTACCCTACAAAACCTAGTGATACTAACATTTGAAAAAAAAATCTTCCTGACTTGTGAAATAAGATTTCATACCATAAACATTAAATTAAATAAGAAAATCTTAATAGAAATAAGGAGATGGCTTAATAGATGATTTTCCAAGTGACTAATGACATCAAGTATTTTTCAAATTCATTTCTAGCTGTTCAAGTTGCTATTTGCTTCCTAAACACCTATAACATAGCTTATAAACTATGTTTTAAAATATGGTTAAACTTTTAAAAAAAGAAAGAAAGAAAATACAGATACGTATATATGTATATTAGGTGATATTAGGTGCTTGGGAAGAAATAGTTTACTTGACTAGTCAATTTCCTAAGCTTCTAAGGTAGAAATAAAACCCTCCACTAGCTATAAGAAAATTTATCAGTGCTTTAAATGCCTCAAAATAAAATTTACTTTCATAGGTATTTAAATTCTCTGATTATAAACAACAAAATGCACAAACTCATGTTCAATCAGATTTGCCCCCAACGGCACTTATATTCCACATGAAAAAAGTAAAGAATGTTCAGATCATCTGGGTATGAAAAGTAGATGACAATAGCATCCTCACAAATCGCAAACTCGGGGAAATGGGGAATTGTGAGGGAGTAATAATAAGTTTTGAGGAAAAGGTACACTTAGGAAAAGGTACAAGTAGAACACTGCTTGGAACATAGGAGTAAATAAAGGTAAGGTCAATAAAAGGCTTAAAGGGACCAGCAGTTAGTGTAAAGGCTATGTCGCTGGACTCCCACGTAGTCGACTGCGGTTCGAGTCCTGGACCCGGTGGCTTAAACTCACACTGGGCGTGTGTGAGTGCGTGCCCAAGATCCCGAGAGGAGAATGGAGGAGAAGGGATTGCGGCGTGGCCATCCCCCCTGGGGGGTGATTTCTCGCTTTCTGTTTCTCTGTCTCTGTCTGTCTGGAGAGCGCATGTGCCCTACAGCAAAAACCTCTCCAAAAATAAATAAATAAATAAAAGGCTTAAAGATAAAAAACAAACAAACAACTATACAATATCAATGTACCAGAAAGAGACTAGAATTTCCCATGAAGAGCCCTTGAATCAGGACAAGAAGATACATGCATCTAGTTAGAAACCCATGAACATAACCCAATTAATAAAAAAAAAAAAATTAAAAACAAGTGTTTCTGTTCTTAATTGTACCTATGAAGCTAGAGCCCTTGGTTAGGCCTTAGTAAACCAAACTTCAAGTTTATTGAACACTTATTTGCCTGAATATAAAAGCTGCTTAAAACTGATATTTATTCTTTAATGTATCACAGAAGTATATGGGGGATTTTCAAATATTCATGAAAAAATTGATTTATTATTTTAAATTGATTTATTTTACATTCATTCACAGTACATCATCAAAGCATATGAAGTGAGATTTCCCATCCAGAATACACTATATTGGATTAATTATAAACATGTTATTATCAACAAATAATTTTCCATTTTTGTTTCTTATATATCTTTTTTTAATTCCAGTAAGAATTTATTTATTTTTATTCAACATAAAATGTTGAAATCCATGCATAACTTTTCATATGTATTTTCCAAAAACTTTTTGAAGCCCCTTCATACATCTATTGAAGGTCTTTTCCAGCAATTAGCTACCATCTTATTACATATTAGTAACTCTTATACTCTTATTAACTTTTTTAGTAGTCTACCCAGAAAAAAAAAAAAAAAAAAAAAACAAGTGAGAAGAAAAATAGATCGTCCCCTAGCCCATCCTAAAGAACAAATGAAGCAAAACCACTCACCTTTTCTGTTTCATCCACACTCATGGATTTTACTACACAGGAAGCTGGCCTCTCCTGGATGTTCACAGGGTCCTGGGGCACTCTCTGAGATGCTGGCATTGGGGGCAAGGGAGCCCGCCTCTTTTTGGGTGCATCTGATGGTAGTGTATTTGAAATATATGGCTTGGAAATGGTGTTGGACCTCACAAAAGTTGGGCGGTGCTTGGTTACCAGTGGAGTGGCAGGTGCACTTGCAGTCTAATGAAAAACAATGTAATTTCAAGATTAAAATACACTTGCAATAAAAAAAAAAAAAAAAACGATTTGAAGAATCTTGTATAATACTACATAGGAAAATACTCACTTGGTCCCGCTTCTTCTTACTGCGTTGAAAAAAGCTTAAGAAGCCTTTATTTTCTTTCTCCTTCATAATGTCTAGGTTTTGTGATATTTGGCAGGATTCTGAAATAGAAGAAAGGTATCTTACTTTTGTATGTGAGGTTGATGGTTCACCTCCAAGTTGTCCTTGTTTCATTTTCCCTTTAAAAATTTATCTAGGGCCAGTTTGGTAGCTCAGTAGTAACACACTGGTTATGTGGAAGATCATAGCTACAGGCCACAATCGTCCACGGTTAACAGAAAAGATAACTTGTCAATACATATCTGTGAACAGAAATATACAATACCACTTACAAAGTATTCTTGTCAAAAATATTTCGTCAAAGTCAGATTGATCTCTAAATTTAACAAGCAAGTTATAGAAAATAAAGTGGATAGAGAAACATGTAAGTGACATCATACAATGCAATCAGCAAATTCTCAAATATGGAAAACTCTTAAGATAAATGACCTGATTTTTTTCAACAAGTGAATTACAAATTAAAAAAAAAAAAAAGTCTGGGGCCAACCCCATGGCCTAGTGGTTTAAAGATCAGTCTTCAACATGGCCAACTTTGGTTTGAATCCCAGCTTGAAACACATGCTGGCCACATGAGAAAAAAGAAAAAATTCTGGCAGGATGGAGAAGAATTGTTCCATGACCACAACCCCCTGGGAAATACCTTCTCTTACTTCCCATCTCTCTCTTACTGTCCCTCCATGATGAGCACATGTGCCATAGGAAAATATTAAGTTAAAAAGACAAGGAGTAGGTATTTGTAAACTTCAAAAGCATTTCCTCTACATAAAAGCATATGGATTTTGTGGTAGGTCACACTCTAATCTGGATGACACTGGAAACAAAGCGTTGTATATCAAAATTTGAGCAATATCATTTAATAGAACTTGGGATTATGTATATATTCTTAAATGAGGAAATAGGTGACTAGAGAGACATAATAACTTGGACAAAGACACACAGGCATTAAATGATATAACTGAAACTAGTATCAATTTAAAGATGACACATAGTGCCTGAGATTTTTATTTTTAAATGCCACTATTTCATTTTAAGATAGACTCTTCCACTAATTGAATGTTGATATACAATTAAATTTAGTTAGAATAGTAGATATAAAAGTTATATAGTGGTACAGTACAATAAATATGCCCAAAGTATTTCAAATTGTTATTTTTGGTAAAGTAATTTCCAAGCACCCAGTTATCCTCCACTTTAGTTAACCCCTAAGTCTTCACATAAAGTTCAAGGACAAGATAACTGCAAGCCAAGAGCTAAACATTAAGACAAGCAAAGGCTTGAGCCTACTGAGAAAAGCAACTGAAGGTGCTGCAGTTTCTCGTTTCTAGGAGAAAGGCTAAAAGTAACTACATGCACAGTCTGAATCCTTCTGATGATATCAGACAAAATAAGAAAGACAGAACATTCATTAATACAACTGTTGTGTTGACCTTGTAGTCTCTGACAGTATAAAAGGAGTTTTCTTAATTTTACTGTCCTAATCTGTTAGAGTTCCGTTCACAGCATTTAATAGTCTGAATAAACCACATACTTCTATGGCTGGAAAGGCTATTAGAAATCAATGCATTCAACACTCTCAAAATAAGGCCAATAGATTATGGAATTTGCTTGGGGTTACATATGTGCAGAGAAGCAACGTTAGGAGCAAAGGCCAAGTACAAGTAACAGAGTGTTGTTGCTGGAAAGAAACGCAAAGACAACTTTTTCCAGCCTCTTTATTATTATTACAGAAGTAGAAGGTAAGATCCAGACAGAGATATTTCCTGTATTAGCTTGACAAATTAGCTTGCCAGTTAATGTACTGTCAGAAGTAAAATGCCTATCTTCTGACTCTTTACCAGTATACATTTTAAGACCTTTAGGCCTTTTCAAGGTCTTTGATTAGGCTGGTCTTCATGATAGCCACCAATAAACATATAATCACACTATTACTTGTGTAGGCTTAATTCTGAGAATTAAGAGCATCGCTGTACTTTAGGAAAATTAGAAGTGGAAAGAAAGCAGATTAGATTCTGATAACACATAATATGTACACTTTATTAAGGTTTTTTTTAAAGTAGGGTGGTAATTATTATGGTAATCGATTATCTAAACATATCCTTTTTTAATAGGGGAGGAACTTTCAAAGTTTATTATTATTGGACAATTATTAATAAAGTTTTTCTCTATAAAAGTAATAAATGTCCATTATAAAATCCTGTAATATAAAGAAACATGAGAAAGTCATAGTCACATATAGCCCTACCACCCTAAGGTAACAACTACTAAAATATTTTTATGTATTTCTTTTCCAAAATTTCATGTAACAGTTGTTCTTTTTTATGTACTATATAAAACACATTTATAAGCTTTTAAAGCTAATTTTAGCATAATTTCTCATATTATTAAAAATCTTCACAAACAATTTAATGAGTACAAATTTTCTTATGATGAACATAACATTATTATTCTGAATAATTATTCAATAGACATAACATGAGATCTTTTCATGATATCACCAAACTATTAGCATTCGTTCCCAATAAAGATTCTAGCATAGTCATTTGTTCTTGTGTGAAAGTATATGTTTTCTCTCTTAGATTACATAATATTTAAACATTAATGAAAATGAAATTATTATAATTAAACTCAGAAATTAAGTGGGGGAATTTATAAATTATCTTTGAGGAAATAGAACACAAAGATTTTCTGAGTTAAAATCTCTTACAACGTGTACACATTAGTAATGTTATGAAAACAGGTAAAGTTAGACATTTATTTTCAATTTACCCAGTTTTATGTTATAATTTGTTTCTACAGATTCATATTCTTACCTTGTAAAGATGACTTATTGAAGGCAGTGACAGAAGTGGCTACAGAAGGAGGGGTAAAAGAGGGTAAATTGACTGTAAAGATGATGTTTGTTCAAGTATAAAACATCGCTGAGTTGAAAAAGTAGTGTACAGACTATGGAAGGCCTACCACCTTGGAATACTTTGACGTTCTCTGAGTATGTAATTGTTCCCTTCACTAAACCTGGTTTTTCCTAGTAAAACTGATTCATATTGAATAAATAAGCTTGCTTTTGTTGACGATACATCATAAAAATCAACATTATCTAAGATCTTGTTAATCTAATATGTCATATTATTTCTATAGATTAAAACTGCAAGTTGTCTCAGAAGTTTTTGGACTTAGATGGATTCATCTTATAAGCCAGTTTATTTTGGATGCTATCTTTAGGGAAAAAAATTGGCAAGAAACTTCTAAATTTTAATGTCAATTAAGATTCAAACAAAGCCATAGTGAGTCGACAGTAATTCACACTCGATTAGAGCAAAAATGAATTTACAAGTAAATTTTCATTTTTTGTTCAAATTTCAAGGCCACATAAAGTCAAATTCCACCATATACACTAAAAAACGTATAGGTAGATAGAAAAATAAAAATTATAGATGACATATAAGATGAGTTTTTCTTTCCATACATGAAATCAAGTTAATTTTATATTTATTTATTTACATTTAGTTTTTCTCTCCTTTTCCTAATGACATGTATTTCCTTCTATGTATAGAATCCATTAACTTGCCGTCATGAACTTGAGAACACCTACATATTAACATGACACATACTCACACACACATACATGTATTTACTTCCTGAATGAAGCAAAAATCTTACCTCTATTGGCATCCATGGCATATAACTCTCTGAGTCCCAGGTCATTCAGAGATTTTGTCAAGTCGAGGGGCTCCTGAGATTGATAATCTTTCAACAACAGTGTATGTAATGGATCAAACTCACATTTGCTGCATATAATAGGGGCAAGTTCTTGAAGTGATGCGTGTGGACTGACTCTCACTATGGCCTTCTGTGTTTTCTTAAAATTGATTACTACTCTGACAGTTTTCTGAAACACAAATTACAGCCACAGTTACAACCCAATTTATGTACTGAAACAAAATGTCTATAATCACGTCGAGAATAAGCGTTCTAGTCTTACGTATTCAAACAATAAACAGTACTTTCTTTTTGATTACTGCTACTTCCTAAATCCAAAGCAAGTTCTTAGGAATAAACATTAGTTTTCTTATTAAATAATGCAGTTTAAGTTCACAACCTTTTTATAATAAAATATTAAACAGGTTTATTTCCCAAAAGTAACAAAAAACACATCATATCCTGTACTACAGATAGTTTTACTTTGTTCCTTAAAATATTTACTATTTTAATTTTTTTAAGAGAGATTTTTCCTATAGTGCATGTATGCTTGCCAGAGTTTTAGAGAGAGGGAGAAAATGAGAAATCAACCCCCTCCCCAGGGGGATGTCCACACCGCAATCCCTTCTCCTCCATTCTCCTCTTGGAATTTTGGGCATGTACACACACGTGTACAGCATGTGGTGAATTTCAAGCTGCCAAGTCAGGGACTTGAACCATGGTCGGCCATGTGGGAGTTCAGTGACATAACCATTACGCCATCTGCTGGTCCCTAAAATAGTTACTTTAAAATTAACAAATACATATAGTTTATCCTCTATATATAAATCAAACTTAGCAATATTAAAAATATTTAATATCAGTCACATGCTACAGAAGGTAAATATTTTAATATTAATTTAAAACATGTCAACTTTTTATAAAAATATGAAAATGCATGTATTCAAGTCATATGTAAATTAGCTATCAACTGAATGTATAAACTTTTATGTATTTCATGAAGTGAAAAATGGTTGATATTCATAATGAAAGAATATTTCTTGAAACCATAAACTTCTATTCCATTGCTTATAAAAGAAAATTTTATAATGAAGAACTGATGATACTACAATCATTGCAGTTAAAAAATTTCACTGAAAATGTATACATTAGGGCCACATTTGGCATGGTGGATAAGGTGCTGGATTCCCACATGGCTAGGAACGGTTCAAGTCTCAGGGTTGGAGGCTTGAAAATCACACTGGGCATGTGTGCATGCATGCCCAAAATCCTGTCAGGAGAATGGAAGTGAGGGGTCTGTAGTTTAGCCATCCGCTCAGGGAGTGACTTCTTACTTTCCCTCTCTATCTCTCTCAGGAGAGCACACACGGCCTACGGCAAAAGCATTTAAAAAAAGAAATTAATACATTAAAGAAAATTGGGGGTCAGGCAGTGGTGCAGTGATAATGTAACTGGACCCACATGGAGAGGTCCTGGGTTCATGTCCTAGAAACCACTCTGAGCACACTGGGTGCACACGCACATCCCTATGATTCCAGCTGGCTGAGACTAAACTAGGGATGGATTGCCATGTGACGACTCTTCTGGGGGTACCTCTCTCTCTGCCTATCTCTCTGTTGATCTCTCTTTCATGGAAGACATACATAAATAAAAAGTATGAGTTCATATTTTAAAAAAAGAAAACTGACGGGGTCGGCAGGTGCAGTGGTGGTTAAGGGCACTGGTGGTTTGAGTCTCGGACCTGGTGGTTTGCTTGCTTTCTCTCTCTCTCTCTCTCTCTCTCTCTCTCTTCTCTCTCACTCTATTCCTCTCTAGTCAAATTAAAATAAATAAATAATGTTAAATAAAATAATTATTAAAAAAAAAAAGAAAACTGAGTCCTTGGGTGATACAAATTAATAGTAGTTTAGGGGATAGTAAGTTACAACTTCTATTACTAAGTGTAAAGAGTCAAAAAATTATTTTAATAGTTTCTTAAATGAATTTTCATTAAAATATTCTAAAACCTTCCTTAAAATATAAAGTGCTTACTAAAAGGGAAGCTGAAAATAAAGGTAATTCATAATTGTAGATTCCAATACGATCACATTGATTACTCGATCGAAACTCTAAAATGTTCCCCAAATTCCAGTCAATGATCAATAACCAACTAGATCCTAAGCGAAGTGGTCCAAGAAAAAGAATAACCATGTTAACATCAAATTTGACCAGGAAAGTCAATGTTAAGTTCATTTACAATAAAATAAAATTTGTAAAACTACAAAAAATTTCAAAATTACAAAATTACAAAAATCAACTTATTATTTTAGGGGCTGGCAAGTGGCTTGGTGGTTAAAGGTGATGGACTCCCACATGGCCAACTGTGGTTTGAGTCCTGGACCCAGAGGCTTGCCTTCTCACTTTCCATTTCCCTCTCCCTCTGTCTCCCTCTGATCAAACTGGAAAATAATAAGTTCAATAAAATAATTTTTAAGAATCAACTTATTATTTTAGACACAAGACATCAATATCTACAGTGAAATTCTTACCTCTGGTATTATTGGTGTAGGTTTTTTCTTATCCACATTTTTTGGCTTTAAAATGACCTTCTCTACCTCCAACATTCCTATTGGTGTGTTTGGCTTAAATTTGACATGGTTCTTTTCAGCTGACAGTAGATCAATTGTGTAACTTGATGGATTTAAATGATACTGTGCACAGAGGAATATCAACAAGTCCATCATAGGTTTACTGCAAAAGAAGAGTAATGTTGATCATAAAGGTCCATAAAGTAGTTTTACTATTACCGTTTTGAGGTTGTTCCTAGGATGCTCTTATCTTCAGCAAATAAAGTTGGTCTAGCAGGTGGAGTGGTGGTTGAGGTACTGGACTTTCACATGGCTGACCATGGTTCAAGTTCTGGACCTGGTGGCTTGAATATCACACTGGGCACATGTGCGTGCATGCCCCAAATCCCAGGAGAATGGAGGAGAAAGGATTGCAATGTGGCTATTCCCCTGTGGGGGGGAGGGAGGGGTGGGTGATTTCTCACTTTCCTTCTCACTGTCTCTCTTTGACACATATGCCCTATGGCAAAAACAAAAACAAAAATAAAGTTGCAAAAACAGTACTTGTGAAAGTAGCTTAAAATCTAACTGCAAGGTATTTAAGTAGATACAATTACAATAGTTAAAAATTCTGGGTAGAGAGCTTAGATCCAAGTGCTGACTTGATGATTATGATTTTATTTGTTGAATTGTCTTCATACTAGAAATTTCAGGAGGAGGAATCCTTCCCTTGCCCAAGAGTGGTTACTTAGTTTTGCAGAAGTTCTTTCACAATATTGGAAGACTGTCCATCTTCAGTTTATAAATTAGTTATATTCCAAAGTTCTTGTCAGAATAAAGCCTTTGAAAAACCACCACCACATTTTGGCTTTAGAAAGCAGTTAGTGAAGCTCACAAAATCCTATAGTACAGATTTCTTAAATCATTCAAAGGATACTTATTTAATATTTTCTAGGCACTGAAGACACAGTACAGACTTATGGAAAACTTATTCTCATAAAGGTAATACTCTACGAACCTATTAGACTATGTGTTGGCAAACTATACCTGCAGGTCAAACAGTTCACAGTTTTTGAAAATAAAGTTTTATTAGAACAATGCCAAGTACATTTGTTTACCTAATGTATAAGGCTGCTTTCATGTTACAATGGCTGTCTTCAACAGATGTGACCAAAATTGTAAGACCCACAAATTTAATGTATTTACTGTCTACTCCTTAGAATAAGCTTAGGAGCCTTGGGAGAAACAATTTTAAAAGGAACAAAGTATATGCATGAGATAATTTCAAATAGTGATTGAACATTGAATGTTAATTTAATACTTGAACTATTTCTGTAGGAACTTGCATACCCAACTTCAAATTCAGGATATTTTCCAATTTTTTGCTTCCCTTTCCACAGGCACCACTTATTGATATAAGCTTGTGTTTTCATTTATATCATCAACTGGAAAATGTGGTATCTGAGTCTTTAACTGTTGGTCCTTAAGAAGAGCAAAAAATCTTTAGTATCATGAGCTTTCCTTGAAATTCTGCTGTGTGTTTCTTTTTTTTTTTTTTTTTTTTTAGCTTGTAACAGGAAACATGTACTCATCAGACAGAGGGAGAAAAAGTGAGAGGGCACCTCCTCAGTTGAGATGGCAATGCCTCAATCCCTTCTCCTCCATTCTCTCAGGATTTGGGGCATGCATGCACATGTGCCCAGTGTGTTTTTCAAGCCACCAAGTCTGGGACTTGAATTGTGTGATTAGCCATGTGGGATACAGCCACCTTAGCTACCATACCATCAGCTGATCCTGAAATTTTTGTTCACTCTTTTTTTTTTTTTTTGAAGAGGTTTTTTGTTTTTGTTTTGTTTTTTTGCTATAGGGTGCGTGCACTCGCCAGACAGACAGAGACAGACAGATAGAAAGCAAGAAATCACCCCCCAGGGCGGATGGTCACGCTGCAATCCCTTCTCCTCTATTCTCCTATCAGGATCTTGGGCATGCACGCACACGCGCCCGGCGTGAGTTTCAAGCCACCGGGTCCGGGACGCAAACTGCAGTCGACTACATGGGAGTCCAGCAACATAGCCATTACGCTAACTGCTGGTTCTGTTCACTCTTAAGAATAAGATATTCAGAGGTTGGCAGGTGGCATGGTGGTTGAGGTCACTGGACTTCCACATGGCCCACTGTAGTTTGAGTCCTGGATCTGGTGGCTTGCTTTCTAACTTTCCCTCTCCCTTTCTCTCATTCTGTCCGTCTATGGTCAAAATAAAATAAAATAAAATAAAATAAAAGTTAAATAATTCTTTTTAAAAAGAATAAGACATTCGGGAACCAACAGATGGTATCATGGTTACATTGCTGGACTCCCATGTAGTCAACTGCAGTTTGAGTCTCAGACCCAGCAGCTTGAAACTCATATTGGGTGCATGTGTGCCCATGATCCTGAGAGGAAACTGGAGGAGAAAGGATTGTGGCATGGCCAATACCCCTGGTGGGGGGCGGGGGTTCTTGCCTTATGTCTCTCTGTCTCTTTGTCTCTCTGGTAAGCATACACGCCCTAAAGCAAAACTCTCTAAAAAAAATAATAAGTAGATAAAATAAAAGACATTCATGCTGCTAGGACACTGATACTTGAGGCCATAGGGGAGGTCTGGATTTCCCTGCCCAACCTAAACAGTCTAGCATGGTAAGACACTCCTGTAGTTCTAGCTAGCTGGAGGCTGAGGCAAGGGGATACAAAATTATGGTGAGATCCTGTCAAAAATCTCAGACAGACGAGCAAACTTAAAAAACATGGCACTAAAACACTACATAAAAGTCTTTTCATGGATGGGGATGTGTGTTGGCACTTTATATTAATTGGGTAGCAAGGTATTTTTCCTCCAGTGGGAAATGTGTCAGAAAAAAAAAATCTCCAATTTCTTGGCTAGAGATATAAACCTGACTATTGTCTTCCAGGAGCTTGACAGAGATAAGAGGCTAGGAATGTCACTACTCAGTATGCCATTTTTAATTTAGAACATCTGTTTTCATATGGCACTTCAACCCACTCTCCCAAATGGAGTCCCCAAGTCCATAGCGTTTCTGATTCAGCTTTTCCAGAGAAATAGTCTCCTGCAGCGGTGGGGAAGGGTTACTTATCTTACACTGAGTGGTCTTGAGGTCAAGCAACACTGCATAGATTTACAACCCATCCTCTATGTTCAACTCCCATCTCAGCTTCACCTTCTGTGGTTATTTTCCATGTCTTCCTTTTTATTTTTATTTATTTATTTTTTGAGAGGTTTTTGCTATAGGGCGCGTGCGCTCACCAGACATACAGAGAGAGACAGAGAGATAGAAAGCGAGAAATCACCCCCCCGGGGGGATGGCCACGCCGCAATCCCTTCTCCTCCATTCTCCTCTCGGGATCTTGGGCACACAAACACACACACGCCCAGCGGGAGTTTAAGCCACTGGGTCCGGGACTCGAACCGCAGTCGACTACATGGGAGTCCAGCGACATAGCCATTATGCTAACTGCTGGTCCCTTCCTTTTTTATTTTTAAGACACATTTTTGTTACAGGGCATGTGTCCTCATTGGAGAAACAGAGAGACAGAAAGCAAGAAATCACCCCCCAGAGGGGATGGCCACGCCGCAATCCCTTCTCCTCTCAGGATTTTGTGCACACATGCACACATGACTGGCATGAGTTTTAAGCCATTGGATCTGGGACTTGAACCATGTCACTATGTGGGAGTCCAACAATCAACCATCAAACCATTTGCTGGTCTCAAAGTTATGTTTCTTTTGTTTTGGGACTTGAACCGTGTCAACTATGTGGGAGTCCAGCAATGTACCATTAAACCATCTGCTGGTCTCAAAGTTATGTTTCTTTTGTTTTTTTTGTTTTTTTTTTTTTTCCTTTGGAGAGCTTTTTGCTATAGGGCGCACACCCTCGCCAGAAAGACAGAGAGAGACAGAGAGACAGAAAGTGAGAAATCACCCCCTGGAGGGATGACCACACCACAATCCCTTCTCCTCCATTCTCCTCTTGAGATCTTGGGCACGCACACCCGTGCCCGGCATGAGTTTAAGCCACCAGGTCCAGGACTCAAACCGCAGTGGACTACATAGGAATCCAGTGACACAGCCATTATGCTAATGCTGGTCCCAAAGTTATGTTTCTTAAAGGCACCTTATTTCTCTTTTCTTCCCTCACATACAAGTAATAACCTATATACATATATCAAGAAAAAAATAAATCCCTCCATAAAATATATTCTGTCAAATATGCTTCTACCCTCAAGATATACTCCATATGTCTTTATTAGATGTTTGCACAATCCTATTTAGGAGTTTTACAGCCTTCCCTGGAGCTATACACTATGTCCATACATTAGTTTGTCTATAATTGCCCGACTGTGGTTTTGGATAGTACATTTTTAATTTCATCCAGAGGAAGACCAGCAAAATGATCTTATGAAAGTTTATTTTTGTATAAAATTCTATGAGAGTAAATTGATGTCACATATCAATCCTAGACTTGAAAAAGGTATTTTCTTTCTTTGACAATAAATAAAGCCAAGGATTAAGTAATGTCTAGGAAATGCAGTATCATTATAAATATTTATTCTGGGTAAAGAGAACGTGCACTGCCAATGGCTAGCTGTCCACTGTCTGTGAGTAAAGGGTGATATGTCAGATTCTATTTATATTTCTCTCTATATTAAAATGTGTCAAGTAATAAGTGTAAAACACTAAGCCTTACACTTCGAACATCTTTTACTTCTTAAATGCACAGTTCTTTAGACAATCTGCCAGAAATGAAGGAGTTGAAAAAAGTTGTTATTAAGGTTTTTTTAATCCCTACTTTTGTACCATTTATCATTTTTTACACAGAAATACATAAATACTTATGAAAAAGACATTTTCCATTTTTAAAAGGTCAGATCAATTTAAGAGCCTTTTTATGGCTTTTTAATATGCTTTATTGGTACAGTCATCTGTCTCTCTCTGTGAGGGATTGGTTCCAGGGTGCCCTGCAGATACCAAAATCTGTGGATGCTTAAGCCTCTTAAATAAAATGGTGTAGTGATTTTCATATAAACTACAAATACCCTGCTGTATACGTTAAGTTATCTCTAGATTACTTATATTACTAAACATAATATAAATGCTATGTAAATAGTTGTTGTACTGTATTTTTATC